TTTTATATTTAAAATGAGATGTTTATCCTGTATTTGATTGTGTTTATTTGCAGTTAGCTACACGAATTCAGATATGGGATGAAATCGGATAGGGATGAACGGGTTTAAGAGTTTTTAAGAGTTTAAGAGTTTTAAGAGTTTAAGAGTTTAAGAGTTTTTAAGAGTTTTAGTCAAATGCTTTATAATATAGTATAGATATATATTCCTATTATGTGATTTATCTATACTATATTATAAAGTATTTAGATTAAACTCTTGAAAATTATTTTTTATGTATTAACTACTATTTATTAATACATGTTACTTAAAATTTAATATTATAAGTTGATTAAATATAAGTACTAATTATTAAAAAAATTCATATTTGAATTTGTATAAGTAACTGCAGATAAACATGATAAATGTTAGATGAAATACTTCAGTAAGTCATTAAACATAATTTGTAAGGAGGAAGTATTTAAAGTTTCATTTTTGTAACAACTCGTCCCACATTGATAGAATGTGAGAATTGTTAGCTCCTTATAAGTCTAAAGTAATGGGTTACCAATAGCTTCCACTATGGTTTTAAGTTGGATTCGAAGTTATTGGGCTAGTTCGTTGCTTTGGGCTTTGGGGTGTTACAATTTTTATAATGGGTTTGTATCTTCCTACTAACGTCTTCAATTAATTTCCACTGCTGATGTGTAATTTTGTCTATTAACCCTCATATCTCTCAACTTTCATTTTCTATAACAAATTTGCTCTCTCCAACTAGTTTTTATGACATATTTGATTTCTCCCTTAACTTTTTTTTTTTGGATCTGATCAATCCCTTTAATCAATAAAATACGGTGGCACACTATATTTTCCTAACATAAGTTACACTCTCTACTCTCACTTGATATGCGACCTCATGCCTCTTGGCTCTTACTGCCTTGGCTCTCAGCTGCTAAGTGTCGATAGGTATGTTTCTGATTTTTCTCCATCTAATTCTACTGGTTTGTCATAGTTTACATTGTCGATTTGTTATAATATTGTATGTATTATCCTACTTTGTTATAGTTGTTGGTACGCATTATGCCAATTTGTTATAGTTTCTTGTGAGTTGTAACTTTGTATTCATATATATATATATGACCAATGGAAAATACTCATAAATCTCCAAAAATCAAAGACAACGATGAACCAAACATGTCTACAAAAAGGGGAGGTAGAACCTCAAACTTTCTGGGATCAGTTTTCAAAAATAACTCTAGATGTGCTTGTAATTATCGTGAAAAAAAAACCCCATGCTTATCATAGCAGGATAATTGGTACACGTTCTTTGTTGTCAAGGTGGAACAGATCCTTCATCTGTTGTACAATCAGTATTCAAAAGGTGTAAAAGTGGTGATGAGGTTAGTTTTATGCATTGTTGTTTTTTAAAATCTCATTACGCATGTTAATATGTTATTCTTTGTTATGTTTATGTTTCTATTTATTTTTTGACATGTGTGTAGATTACCAAAATAGATTCATCACTAAATAATGATCGTAAAGAATCTTAGAGGAGAAAAATGTTGGAATCATTTTTGTAGCAACAACAAATGGATGTGCCATATGATATGAATGATGTATATATATATATATATATATATATAGTTGACGAAACTATCAGTATAAAGACTCTCTCGTTCGATGCAGTATTTTGGTCGAAAGATAATGTTAATAGGTACATCATTTTGTCTATGACAGCTAAATATGTTCTTGATATACATATATCTATCGTAGCATCTGAATCAGCCATCAGTAGACGAATGGCCATAGGGCCTTGGCCCTGTTTTTTTAGGTAGAATGAAACATTTCTGGTCCATTAAGGTTTTAAGTGTGAAATTCTTTTCGGCCTCTTCACTATTGTTGATCCAGTCCATTTTTGTTTTGCTTCTATTTAGTAGTAGCGGCCATATTTTCGACTCATTTATAAGCTCTTTAAGTACAAAAATGGTGGAGACCTTTGTATGCACACAAAGTTGGTTGAAAGGGAATGAATGTCTTGATGAAATTGCATCTTATGACTTTTTTTACTTGGGAAAATAAACTATGTAAATTAATTTGATGACAATGGTTATATTCTTAATAGACTGTTTAACTTTTGTTTTTTAATTGCAGATAAACTCAAGGGGAATGCAACATTGAAGTTGGAGAGGTCCAACTGGGTCGTACTTGATTGATTATTTGGGCAGTTTGAGACATCTATTGTTCAAATTTTACAAGTACTTGTATCTAAGACTTAAGGATTTAGTAATATATTTGGATAATTGTAATAACTAATAACTTTCTTTTTTATATTTTTAGTAGTATTTATCGAATTCTATTTCTCAAGTTTATGTATACTACTAAATCAACCCGCCACAACCAGTAAAGGTTGGGTTTAGATTTTTTCAGACTGCCATAATTGGGTTGCGTTGTAAAAAT